ATATACCTTCTTCTTCCCCTATCTCCCCTTTCCTTTAACCCCAATCCCCTACGTCCTTCGCCAAAACCGCGCTTCCCTCTCCACCCATCCCTCTTCAATTATTCCCTCCTCTCAGCCCCATTCCTCTTTGCCCGGACCCCATTTCACCACTTCCCTCTTCTCAACCAAAGCCGTTCCCAACTTTCCTGTGTCAAGTTATAATATGTCAATGCAAAATTCGTGTCTATTCTCCGGAAAAGCGAATCTGAAAAATTAATTTATATACGAAAGCAGGCGCTATCGGTTTTCACAACCGTAGATATGATCTGCTTCATACCTTTCCAGCAAATGAGCTGGTATATCACACTAATATAATACATATGATTTTTGCTTTAAAAATTACTTATCTGTTTACAAGTTTTATTATTCAGACGAAGTGAGATGATCTTAAATTGCTTTGGTGTTGTTCCATTTCGTTTTGATATATTGGTTTACCTCCCTTGTTCAACACCGTGAGATTTGAAACTTTCCAATAATGTTAAGGTAAGCTTATATAGGCCTACTTGCAGTAATGGAGATAGGACGTGAAACACACACAGGCAAACACACAGTGTAATAATATTATAGCAAATCATCATCAGATCTGAAGATATGTTTTATAAAGGCTGTAAACAATCGCATCAATATGAAAATTCTTCTTTTTTTTCTTCAGCACAGAGTGCCGTTTTCAATAGACAAGACATTTTTCTGACAAAAGCGATCCGAGACGGACGTTAAACTAGGAGGTCCCGCCCCTTAAATGATCTAATAGTGTTGATAGGGGTGTTAAATCCATACCATTTCACCATTTTCACCAAAAGCGATCCAAGTCCATCCTTACCATCAAAACCACACGAAAATATCAAATCAGATCATAAACTTGTGAATGAATTACAGCATTTAACATATTAAAATTTCATATTCGGTGGGAGTGGGGGAGGGGGGGGCGGAGGGGGAGGTGGTGGGGAAGCTGCAGAAAATGCTGGGCCCCCACTGTAGTCTCTGGGGGTGGTTGGGCTGTCCGGATCTTCTCCAAAGGGAATGATCTCAGGAGGGGCTTGAGCAAACTGCACAGTGGACTGACGATAGCCGTAACTGTCTTTTCTATCCTCGTTGACAATAACTCTTCTGTAGATATAGTTGGGATCGGAGTCAAGCCCTACACCTCTGCTGGTTGAGGGCTGAGGAGGCGCAGGTTCTGACGCTGCAAAGGGCAGGTCTCCGTCGTCAATAGACTGTTGTCTTTTCCGAAGCTCCGCCATGAAGGGCAAGCCGCTCTCTCGTCCTTGACTTCCGTGTGGGGATCGTTTGTTGGATTCTGCGAAAGGTTCGCTCGGTTGCGGTGTAGACAAAGGCTGGTTGCCAAGTTTCAGAATATCGTCGATATTTATGTCCGGGTTCGGAATGATTCTCCCGGGAGGGGGTGTTGGAGGGCGCCAGGAGGCAGTGCGACCACCAAAATTATCCAGAGGTGGTGAAGGCGGAGGTGAAGGTCGCCCGACAAGCTGACTCAATCTTCTCTCCGCGTCGTCCTGATTGGGTAAGATTTCCTCCATCGTCATGTCCGGAGGCGGAGTCGGGATGCGGGCTGTGACGTCACTAAAAGAGGAAGTGACAATCTCTGCGTGCGCGTGATGAACAATCGGATCTCCGCGAGGCGGGTACACAGAATCACGTGGGCTTTCTCCGCCATCAAACGGGGGAGTGGGGGGTCTGTCAAGAGTCGGATCTTGTCGGTGATGACTGATGAATTCTTGCTCTTCAACGACCTCCTTGACCTCAGTTGTCTCCACAGTCACATTGCCCAGAGCGATGATGTCATCGATACCCCCGTCTACAGGTTCGGTTGTGGCCGGGAACTGTGTGTCTCCGGTCAGGTAATCGGGTCTTGGTGTCGGTTCCGCGGAGCCCATGTAGTGTAATGGACTCGGAGAGATGCTCCGGGACAAGCCGTCTGAAATTACTACGCGAGATGGTTCGGGGTAAGAGAATCCCCCAACTTCTGACGTCTGCCTGCTGTAATCAATTCGAGGAGTTGGATCTGGGATGGAGTCACCGTCTTCATCATCAAATCCTATCGTCTGCTCTTTCTCCTGCAGGATTGTGTGATTTATAGTGGAGGTGGGCGGGGACCCAAACTCAACGCTCGAAGTTTGGACTTGTGTCACAGAATATCGGCCTCCCTCCGACACGAACTTCTGTTCAGCTCGAACAAAACCATCCCCCACGACTTCACTGTATACCTTATCAATGTTGTCATCATTATTATTGTTATTATCATTACTGTTCGCGTTGTTAAAATCATCTTGCGGGCCCAAATCCAGCCCACCGTTGTCGAAGTACAGCTGCAGGGGGTTGTTGTTGTTGTCGTCACTTCTCCGAGTGGATCGTCGCTCTGTGGCGCGAGAGTACTTCTTGATGTCGTCATCTTGTCGTGTGGTCAGGATGACGTCACCTTCAAACGGTCGGACCGTCAGGTCTTCTGGATCGCTATGCGTCTGACGTCGGCTGCTATGACGCTTGTCGTGTGGGTCGCGTGACCTCGAACGGGACTTGCTTCTGGACTTGTGTTTCCTTTCCGACTTGCGATGCCGATGGGAACTCTGGACATTGGAATATAGGTGAAGATACGTGTAAGGAAAAACAGCGTACGAAATATAATTCAAGAAAAGGAAAGGAGAGATTCTTTCTCTATAGTATAAGAACTAATTATTATATAATATTAAGTAGGTTCATTCAGTA